GAAACCAGGAAAAATGGAGCAGCCACTGCTCCCCAAGCCTTCCCCAGACTAGGGGATCACCCTAGTCTGGTGAAGACTTAGAAAGATGGGGAGAAGCTGCAGGCTGATTTCCAGCAGTGGAAATTTATCACAGATTTCCAGATCTAGAAATGAATAGCCAAACTTTGATTCATAGCCAAAGTAATGTTGTGTTTGTGCGTTTCTAGTGTGTTTTTTGTCTGTCTTTCTCACTGAAACAGAGGCAGAGACTGCCCTTAATGGTTTTGCAAATAGTTGATCATATTGATGGTGCTTAAGTAAAAATGATCATTGGGGCTCCTTTATCAGGTGTCTTAATTTCACTCTCACTAGGCATTAAAAATATCATAACATTCCTTGCATTAATCTTTGTTCCATTAGAGTTCCCTTAATTTACATCATTCAGGTGCTATTGACTGTTGCTAGTATGATTCCAAGCTGATAATTGTAATTTACCTTAGGTATGCTCTTTGGGACACCCTTGTTCATCGCTCTCAGACTGTTCAGTCACCTTCTTCAGCACCATTCCCTCCCTCTTCAGCACTAACAGTACATGATGCAAGACATTCTGTTCAGCTCCCACACCATGGTCTGGAGCAAATAGTCATTGACACAAACAGCTCATGGGTCAACTCTCATTTTCATTTATTCAGCACTCTCATTAGAGTATCAGTAGCTACTTCTATAATCTGACATGAATCTTGCCCTCTGAAATATCCATTTGCTTTGCTCCTTTTCTCATTATTTTCATAGTTTATGATCACATGCAAACTCAAAATTATCTCTAATGGTGATAGTTTACTCTTTTTTTCTAATTATATAAAAACTACCAGTGAAGTTTAGTGATATAACTGTTGATTATTTATTCAAAAACAAATGTTATAGACACAGTAAGGTAAGTTTCAAAGAATTGTGCAGTGAAAATGGACCATTTAAAAATGGACTCCCAATATTATCAGTTTAATAAACTTGATCTTAATAGGCTGTCCCTTCAGAAGAAGGAAGGCTGAAATGTAGCCCTTGGAGATCTTGGCTCTGTTCCTATTTTTGCCACAGATCTCTTGGATAACTTAATACAAGATGCTTGGGTTCAAATCCTGTTTTGCCTCTATGGGACCTAAACCACTTAGGTAGATTTTAGGAGCCTAGGTCATTAAATGTAATCCTGCTCCATTGTGCACATTGGCAAAAATTTTATTAAGGTGCCCCTGATCCCTACGTGCTTCTTAGGCATCTCTATCTTAGCCTTAAAACCTCTCAACTTCCCTAGACATCTAGACATGTCCTACTATGTATCCCTAGAATAGAACCCCTATTCTATAGGGGCAACCTAGAGATCTAACTGTACATATGCTCTGTGCCAATCCTATTCTTCCTGAAGAAGTACATAAATTCCACATTAGTCTTTAAATTCATACACTGAATTTGCTCATTCATGCTGACTGACTGACACTGGGGGAAGAAGGAGGTGATAAAGCCTATCTTTTACCCTCATCTCCCACTTTCCAGGATGGTGCTCCAACCACAGGCTGGCAGGGCTGATGGTCTCCTCCATCTATCCTGTTGAAGATGGGCCAGTGTTAGGATAGGGAAAGGATGGTTGAGTCTGAAATGTGGCAAAAAAGAGGAAATATGGCTTTGTGGCCCTGTGAGGTAGGTCCCTGTTAGAGGGAGACAGCCCTTGGTTCTGGCCCCTGATCCTAGCCCATGATCTCTATGCTGTTTATCTGCATTATTTAATAATGTTGCTGGCTCCCTGGAATACATTTTATATGATGTAATTATTAAATAAAATAGATAAACAGCACTGCAATAAAGGCCCAGAGTGCAGTGTCCTCTCCACTTTAAATGTACTGCCCACCTTATTGGGTCACACTTTCTCTTGCATATTCTAATTCTCACCCCTTGACACTCACTCTGGCTGGTCTGTGACTCACTTCATTAGGAGGAATGACAGATACCTTCAGCCCTGCCTAGTCCATAGATTTGTGTTTAGTATATAGGTTCAGAATCCTTCAGGGTAAGGTAGATCCAGAACCCAAATCCTTTGCAAGACAGTTGGCAAAAGATCGGTGAGAGTCCTTCTTTGTGTATCAGGTGCCGCCTTTGTCTTCTTTGAGGGCACCTGCCCTGTCCAATGAGCAACCTGAATCACAATCTAATAGAAGCCTATTTATTAGGCTCTCTGTCTGCTCATTGATAGAATAGGAGAGGCATGCATGTATCACCCTGTGGTGAAATACGATTATTCTCTGGAGGTGTAAAAGTTCCCTGCTACTTATCTCTAAAATGAGAGAAATATCTGTCTCAACAGGATGGAATCAGATCAGTCCCTGAGGGCGCACCAAGCTATCCATTGAGAAAATGGAAAACCTAGGAGTCTTGGTGGTGGGAGAGGTTCAGCTCTCCTAAGGGAGATGCCTGCTTCACTGAGGAAGCAATGAGCTAAGATGAAGGTGCCTGAGTTGCAAATTGGAATTTGGGATTTACTGTCTTTTCCTTTGTTACTTATAATTCATTAATATTTTATAAGACATTTTTTGTGATCTACAGATGGCAGATATGATATAAGGGTTAAATATTGTCATTAATAATGCAACTAGCAGAAAAGTCTTGGAACTGGCATGTGTATAAATGTGATTTCATGAATACTATTTGATTGGGCTTCCTTTGTAGTGGTTTGGTGACCTTGTGACTCCAGTGTGGTGGGAGGACGTGTGGCTAAAAGAAGGTTTTGCTCACTATTTTGAATTTGTTGGGACAGACTACCTCTACCCAGGCTGGAATATGGTAAGTGTATGTTATTTCATGAATTAGCAACTCCATTGAAAGGTTATTTTCCCATTACACTGTTTATAGTTGGAGGCTGCTGAAAAATACCAAATGGTCCATGCAAGTATCAGATGTCCAATAAAACAAAATCAGTAGGTGTGAAATCAGTTGACAGCATTCCAAAAAAGTATAATGTATCATTTATTATAAAAGGTATAAAGTCATGTCTTTCATAATCCAATGTTAAAATAATTACCACCTCTCTAGTCAAAAGCATTTCCTATTAAGGGAGATATGATTAAGTGGTGATCATTTTTGATAATTTCACTTTTTATATAAATGAAAAATCCATAAAGATTTTTCTAAGTTTCACAGGATGTTGCATTTTTTATCAAAACAATAATTTGACTAGAAAAGAAAGATTCAGGTAAATTATGCCATGAAATGGAACGTATTACAACTTTAATATACTACTGCTTTTTAAATGCATCTATATAATTGTATTTTATGATTGTTGTTATTTGTCACTTAGCCTTAGTTTGGGATAAATGTATTGAGGCACTAAGGAAGGGGAACACAGTTTATCATATACAGTTATAGAAATAGAGTCAGGATTAATTACTGCTTTTTGAAAAATATATGCAGCTACTGTTGACTCACCTGTGGGAGAAAAAACAAGAAAATACAAGTGGAGACATGCTTTCTGAGCCCTTCAGTATTGCAAATTTACTTGGCAGGTCATTCCTAATAATATATTATTTGATTTTTGGTCATCAGTTGTAATTTCTTGGCCATTTTAAGCAAAAGGAAAAATAAAATTTATGAGAGTTGTCTCATATCCCATACATACCCCAAGAAGTAGAGAAACCTTCCTTGTGGGCTTGGCCAAGGCGCCCATATACTTCTTCGTGTCCCAAGGATTACTTATTTTATTATGTGTAAATTCACCCTATTTTGAGCTACAGTATTTGCTACCAAAGTATTTTTATATATGTCAAGTTTTATGATAAAGGTTTTCAAATGGTTTGGTAGGTATATAAATGTTTTGATTAAATTAAGATGGACAAGGTTCTTTGGGTAAATCTGATATCTTTTATTAGACCAACTCTAATTATTTGAGATGGCATAATAAAAAATATCAGATTTACCCAAAGAACTTTGTCTGCCCATGTTCTTAGACCAACATAGCTACAACCTATACCCCTGAAACATTGATTAAATTAACATATTAACTTTTGATATTTTTGCCATTTCTTTAACTTAGTTCCATAGTCTTATTCTATTAAAGTTTGCTGCTGTAAAACAAAGATACAATACTTAGTTAAATACATTACAAACTCTTAAATAATTGTACATTTGAATGTTAAGGTATGTTTTTATTTGAAGTTTGATTTCTTTATTCTGGGTACTGCTTAAATATTTCTTTTGTGTATCATTTCTGACTTATAATTGCATTATGAAGAAATGAAAATAAATCTTTATCTGAACTGACAGCTGCCTTGCGTAGGTAAGCTAGTTGGGTTCACCTAGCTTTGGCTGTAATAAATCTCATTCTCTTCATCTTTATGAAAAACACATCTTGAATTACAATGTAATCATTCTAATTATAAATGCAATGGAATCTGGCAGCTCTTGATGATTTTAGCATAGTGAAATGTCAAAGAGTACAACATTCTTACACTGGATTTTATCTTTGAATCATCATATTCATTTGTTCTCCACATAATCACTTTAACAAATCCAGAATACCTTTGCTTTAGAAGTCATCTTGAATATACAATATTTTTTGTGAACATAATATTCACTGTTATGCAAATGACATGCCCATCATGTGAAGTCCTGGCCTCATAGCAGAATACAGGAAAAACGAAAGGCATGTGGGCTGAACAAGGTATGACAGTTAAGTTATAAATCAGAAGCATATAGTGCATGAATTAGAATTAACAACAGAAAAATTGCTGTGCCTGGAAAAATATCTATCTGTCAAGTTCTTTTAAATGAAAAGGGAAGCTTGACATAAACTTTTCATGAGGCTTCTGATATCAGTGGCCTTAGAGACCAAAAAAACCATATTGACATATCCAAATAGTTAGAAAATTGGTGGGAAGATTGAACATGACAATTTAAACAATATAGTTTTTTACCATCCTTTACAGTCTACAGTAGAAATTAATAATATGATGTTTCATTCTTATTACTAAAATGGTAAGAACAGCAAGTAAAATTTGGCTGCACATACCAGAATGTAGTGTTCTGGATATTTTTTGTTAGTGGTGCAAAGTACTCTTCAGAACAATCTGAGACACAAGTGTAAGCAACTGAGAAATACCTAGAGAAAAGAAAAACAGCTTTACTTCTTTTTCAGAAGTGATGTACGCAGTTCAAGCTGCACAAATCAGTTCAAACATCGAAAACTTTAAACATTACTTCCAATAATGATGCTATTTTAATAGCCAGAGCAACAACAAAAGATCCTGCGCCAGCGGTCATTCATACTTGTAATACATGCAGAAACGGTCCTTTTGAATATGACTGTGCTGGTTCTGAGAAGACTTTGCATCAGGAAAGCCAAAAATAATCTAATAAAACCTCTTTGCAAGCATGGGGAAGGTTAGGAAATTAACCTTTTTTCCTTGTAATCTTCAGACCTTGGGGACTGAGATGTCGAATATTACTGCCTTCCAGTTTGTTAGAGAATATGCTGTCATAACTTCTGGGCAGGTGTGGCAGGAATAAAAGAATAAGTGGCTGCTAAATTTTGTTGATGGAGCCTTAGCAGTGACATGCTTAACATTTTCTGCTTCTTAGCCCTCAAAAAACACAGGAAGAAAAGTTAAAAAAAAAAAAAAAAGATGACTACATTTTTGTATTTACAGTCGAAAACCACTTTCTAATACAACTTGTCATTGCTGTGGTCAAGAACATGGAACCAAGCAAGCCCTATGATGCTGACACATTTCCTGTCAAGTCTTATAAAGCTTTTCCAAGTAGAAGCCTTTCTGTACTGCTGCCCACATAGGTGAAATACAGCACAATTTTATTTTCATCAGCCTTCAATTTAAATCATAACACATCCATTTTAAAGAAAGGATGTGTATGTGTTATGGTTTAAATCTTATACATGTTTTAATACCAAATCATTGCTATGATTCTTATTGTTCTAGATATCATACATACTGACCAAATGGACTTGGGTCCATATTTACTAAGGCAGACTGTCTATTCGATGGTCGAAAAGAAACGAAAATGATTTTTGTACAATTTTGACTAACAAGGGTATTCATGGACAAACAGCATAACGGATCCTCCTAGAAGAAATCAAGAAGATAAGAAATTGTGTCAGTCAGTTTCTTTATGTAAAGCCTCAGTCCATCCCTTCACTGTCTGTTTCTTGTATGTGGACGCATGCAGCTTGAGTTTTGCCATCCTCCTTTTGTTTTTAACTCTGCTTGTGTCATCCGGCCCAGGGGCTTCCCCATTAGTCTGGAATTTGGTTGCTGCCAAATCTCTGGACCTGCGTGGAGCCCCAGGTCTTATATGCTGGACTCAGTGTCCAACCCCAGTGTGCCAGGCCCCAGAGCCTAATCCCAGCATGCGAGGAGGGTGGGGGGCATGAGAGAGAAGGGGCAATGCCAGGCCCTCAGGATGCAATCCTGGTGGTGGCGAATGGGAAGGGATGGTGCTAGGCCCCTGGGATCCAATCCCAGCACACAGGAGTCGAAACTAATCATGCCATTTTCCTTATAACCGTCCACTTTCTGCAGCAAAATCAGTGCCCTAAGATGTAACCCCTATTATTGGAAGACATTTGTAACAGATGGCTCATGTTATTCTTGCAGGCATTACAATAGTTTCCTTTGATTGTCCTTGACATGTCTAGGCACTTATTTTGTACAAAAAGATGAGTTTGGTATTAACCAAAATGTTCACAATTTAATACAGGCATATACCAGTCTATCCTATTTCTTCTCTCCCTGCCTGTGAACTGGTGCCTGTTAATTGTTACATTTTTAGTTCCTTTCTTCAGCCAGCCTGCTTATAAGTACCGTGGTTTCTGCTTTATAGAATTGCTGGTCGATAGAATCAGTTGCTTATTTGAATCACTATGGGAAAACCCAAACCGTATATTATTACATGTAAAAATCGCTCATATTAGAATCACAGTTTTTGGGTTTTGGAATCATTTTACTGTGTTCCAGCCTGCAGGGGGCTGGGAGGGAGCAGGAGCAGGGCGGTCAGGCAGGGGGTGCCTGGACATGATCCCAGGGAGCCTGGAGAGCAGCTCCTGCAGGTAAGTGTGTGTGTGAGTGGTGGGGTGGGGGGAATGGGGCCTCTCTAGGGAAGGAGGGAGACAGTTGGGCAAGACCGGGACCCCAGTGGCAGTGGGACGGGGCCGTGGGTGGCTTGTCTGGGGGTCAGGGGCTGGGATCCCTGGCGAAGCGCCCTGTGTGTGCACGGTAGCTTTGAGGGGTGCAACCCCATGCCACTGCCCTTACTGCCTGTGTTTGCCGCCACCCCACACACAGATCTGGGAGGCATGGGTGTCCCCTTGCCCCTCTGGGAGTGCCTGCTGCGCCAGGGAGCTGGCCCCACCTCCTGCACCCAAGTCCATAGCAGGCAGCAGCAGGTGAGGAGCTGAGCTCCGCTTCGCTGCAGCAGGTGCTGCCGCCTGCCAGGGGAAGGGGGCTGCGGACCCAGGTCCCTGGCCCCATAGGCATGGCAGCTGGGGGTCCCTGTGGCAGGGCTGGGAGGCCAGGGGGCTGTGGGTGGGGGGCAAGAGACACCAGCAGGGGTGAGGGGGGAGTGAGAGGCACAAGCAGGTCTAGGGGCTGTGGGGGAGCAGTGACTATCTGTGTTCTTGAAAAAACAGGTTTCCTTTTAATGGAATCAGCCCATTAATAGAATTAAATCACCATTTCCCAAAGTGATTCTAATAAGAGGAATCCATTGTAGCACTTTTTCTTTGTTTCTTCATTGGCTCCAGTAGCTGTCGTAGATCCTGGTATATGTTTCAAATG